CAGCCCACAGGGAACAGCTATTAACGGTAAATTTTCTTCCAAACAGTAGCAAATGTCTGGTCTAGCTTGGCTAACAGCAGAGATCCAGTGCTGGACAGCTCATAAAGAAAGGAGTGACTGCCATCTTACTATGAGTGTGGCAGCATCCTGAGTCTCCAAATTCTGGACTCAAGTTCAGGTTAGTCATTAGTAGAATAGTCTATTAATGCTAACATAACCTCCACTGGTTGGAAGGGAAAAAACGGAGACCTTGTGAGTATAATAGGCTACCCAAAGATCTACATGCTGAGAGAACATCCACCTATCTTGTCACTTATCTTAATGTAGGCCACTGATCTGTCATTGGTCAGTCACCCTGCGCAGTAGGCCACTTTGTCAAAGATACTTGAAACCATTTCTTGAATGTCAGCTGTGTCAAAGCAATTTCTACCATAATCCTTGGGAATAAAGATATCTTAAAAGTGAAATATTTGGGGAGGTGGGGCCACACTTGGAGTGAGCTCTGGATAAACACACCAATCTAAGCTAAAATACAGAGTATTTCCATGAGACAACCTGCACTATTAGAGAGTATCCTCTATTGCCCTAGGCATATCTGGAAGCATCTCACCTCTTTACTGGCGGTCAAGCCCTGAAACTCTTCTGCAGCCTGCGTGCGACTGCTGACAGGGAGAGCGGATGATCTCCCCATGGGCTTTCCTGCTGGCATGACTAAGAGTGCTAAGGATCCCCCCTTTGCCAGTGGGGGTCATACCAGCGCCTGGTCACCAGCTGTAAGGCTATTTGCACCCTTGTGGACCCCTGAGCCAGATAACTACCTACACGTCTGACAGATAAGATGGCGGACGCACCACATCTACCACATCAAGCGCCTAATGATCTTCAGGGCCTACAAAAACAGTCCTTGCAAAGATTAGACAACATTTTCACATGCTTTTGGGATACCCTTGAGAAGTGTACTGCAACTCCACCACAGCTGGGAAACAGTTGGAAGGAAAACGAGGACTCTTTGGGCACTACTACTCAGCAACTGGCTATGCCCTTCTCTGACCACCCTACAGTATACATCAAGCATTCTCTTTATACATAACAGATGCTATCCAGATCTTAGGGCTAGCACAGCCTTAACCTGTTATCAAAGGTTGTGTTTTTCTATGTCTTTTATTTTTCATTTCCAAAATGTTTTAATCTTTTATTTTATGGGGCACAGTTATCATACAGGACGTTTAAAGGACCACTATAGTGCCAGGAAAACATACTCGTTTTCCTGGCACTATAGTGCCCTGAGGGTGCCCCCACATTTCTCTGGGTGAGTTTGTATAATTTTTGTTTGCAGGCACATGTTTAATATTTGCATCAACACACAAACCTTCAATGTCTTTATGGTGATGCACACCTGAACCAGGAAGTGTGATTCGCAGCACTTCATTATTTTGACGTTATTTTGTATTTTTGAACATTAGGTATGATGTAATTATTTTCTTTTTGAAGGTAGTTGTGAATCAAATGTTTTCTTGAATTATTTTTTTTTTCCAATTTAGCACTAATATAACTTTATTTTTTCATTATACATATTATGTCTGCATAAACAGCTGTCTTCTTGACTCTCTTTCTAACTTTAGACATCATTAAATTTACAATCCAGTTTAAGGGACACTATAGTCACCAGAACAACTACAGCTTATTGAATTTGTTCTGGTAAGTAGACTCATTACCTTCAGGCTTTTTGCTGTAAACACTTTCTTTTCAGAGAAAATGCAGTGTTTACATTACACTCCTCAGATGGCTGTTAGAGATCCTTCCTGGGTCATGGCTGCCTAAAATGCATCCAAACATTCAGTGTCTTCACCCTCTGCATGCAGACACTGAACTTTCCTCAAAGAGATTCATTGATTCAATTCATCTCTATGAGGAGATGCCGATTGGCCAGGGCTGTGTTTGAATTGTGTTGGCTCTGCCCCTGATCTGCTTCTTTGTCAGCTTCTTTGTCAGTCTCAGCCAATCCTATGATGATGTCAGTAGGCAGTGGGCAGGTCTAAAGGAAACAGGAACAAAGTAAGCAGCTGCAGACTTGAATACAAGTAAGATTGTACTATATATAGGGAGGCATGACTGGACCAGGGGGCTAGATGGTGGTTTTAACCCTCTAGGGTCAGAAATACATGTTTGTGTTCCTGACCCTACAGTGCTCCTTTAAGGCTTATGGCCCACTTTCCAATACCTGTAGAGAAAAATATATAATATTATAATATTGATAAAGAGGGATGGCCTGATGTCTCTGCCCATCCATGGGTGGTGGATGGGAACTCTAATATATATATAAATTGTGGGGCCTAATGCTCCCCCTTAGTCTCACCTACAGGCAGGAGGAAAAGTAGACATTCTATTGTCCACTCCCCTAAAAAGTTATATGTCCCCCCACATGGTGGGCTAATGGTCCCTTTGCTCCCAACCACCAACCAATAAAAAAAGTCTTCCTTGCACTGACACACTTCCCCTAGTCTGCCAACCTTTAAATGCTCCTAAATACATTCATGTTAAGGGGAATTGAACACTCAACTCAGTAACTAACACATTTCACTTAACCAATAAATGCCCTCATCTCATTCTGTATTAACATCATTCTCAACGTTGCAGTCCCCACCTCTTGTATCACATCCCTCCTGTCTATCGAGATTGTAAGTTCCCACAGAAAGAGAGCCCTCAACTCCTCCTGTATTTGTTTGTCATGTTTATTGGCTTTTAAATGTATTGTATATTTGTCTTTTTGTACCAGTTGTACCCGTGGAAAGCTGTGGAATGTGCAAAGTGTTGCACTTTATAAATAAAGCATATTAATAATAAGTCACAGATGTGAGTAATGACCCATGAGGTATAATATTTGTAAACTTTATCTCTCTGTAGACTTCCTATCACCCAGCTGTACATAAAATGTCACTATACGTACAAACACACAATCAATGCTGTACAAAGTGAACTCTGGCTCTGAATGTACACGGTACAGTACGATTACTATTGAGTCATTGATATGTTGACTGTGTTGCTGCTGCTAGGCTCATTCACTGACTATGCCTTATGATCTATTTATCATAAATGGAATAAGGTGAATAATCGCTTTGTTCGGAGCAAGTAGTAATTAATGTTTTATCACAATCGGCCCACGTAAAGCAAATGAATGATGGGCTTTGCTATTCAATGATCAGAAAGACTGTAAATAAGAGCTGAGTAGAATTATATTATTATGCTCTCTGAATCAAATATATCCTTAACCAATATGTCAATTTTATATTTATCTATTCTATATCGTATAAAGGCTACAATATAAACAAAATGTACATTGTACTGAAAAGCCATGTATTAACAGTCTGCAGGTAAACTAATAGCAGTGTTTTAAAATGTCTTCCACTAAGTTAAAAGAGTGACTAGATCAATGAAAGTAATTAAATGAATGTTGCCCTAAATGGAAACCGTTTAGGGATCCTGTACATGCTTTTTATGGCAAAATACTTAAAGGAAGAAAAGAAAAATGCTTAAAAGTAGAAAACAGTTAAGTGTACTATGATAGAATACAAAAATTTTGAAAACAAAGACACTTCCCAACTAGGAGGCATGCATGAGGGTGAGCAGACTACAAAGGAAGTGGTGTTGAGGATCCTCCCTTTTCAGAAAAGGGGTGTCAACCTGGCATGCATGCATTGGCTTTGTTTCCTGAGTCTACTTTGTGCATTACGAGGCATCTAATAACGCTCTGTGGCATGCTTCCTAGAGACCCCAGCATCTGGTGACACCAGAGTGTAAACCTGAGTCAGCAGTAAAGCAGCTCCATATTGGGAGAGTCTTGCTGAATCAGAGACTAATTGAGAAAATGGGATTATAGTTAAGGTTGGGATTAGATTTGGGGAATAGGGTTATTGTTTGTATTTAGATTGTGATTTTGGGTTTAGATATATATTTTTAAACAGATTTAGGATTTATATTAGGGTTATGGTATGGACTATAGTCTGAGGTGTACCTAGGTCACTTGGAACCTGAGGCAGGTATGTATATTGGCACCCCCTTCCTGAGTTTGAAACTTATCCCTCTGTGTGTTTTTCCTTATTTCCCCCTTAAAATTCTGTCTTAAACCTTTTCAACTTCTCATGTGTCTTTTAACCCATGTTAACTCCGGTGCCTCTCTTAGCCCCCTACATCTTCTCTGTTTCTTAACCCTTTTAATGATTCCCTCACCAACATACACCATACACAGGGGCGTACCTAGAGCATTTGGCACCCGGGGCGGATCCTGTGCTTGGCACCCCCCCCCCCAAAAAAAAAAAAAAAAAAAACCTGTAAAAAATGTTAAAGGTTTTATTTCTTTTATTTTTACAATTTGTAAACTTTGCAAAACCGCTGTCAGCCCCTCCTACAAAACCCTTGTCCTGCCCCTCCTACAAAACCTCTGTCCTGCCCCTTCTACAAATCCTGTACTGCCCCATCTACAAAACCCCAGCAACCCCCTTCCACAAATCCCCTGCTTATCCCCCCTTATAAAGACTCCTGTCCCAATACAAAACCCCCACCCCCTTCTACAAAATCCCTGCAGCCCCACACACACATTTACAGACAGACAGTCACACACTCAGTTACAGGCAGACAGTCACACACAGTACAGGCAGACAGTCACACATACACATTTCCTCCGTGCGGCCAGTTTATCAGCTGTTTGCTTGAGTGAGCTGTACTGGCCGCACGGCACCCTAACTACCATGGGACACTGTGCGGCCACAGCTCACACAGCCCCCTCCAGCCAGGGCCGGTACAAGGATTTTTGCCGCCCTAGGCAAAAGTAAAGTTTGCCGCCCCCCATGTGACATCACAATGCCCCAACCATATGATTTGCCATGTTAACTAACGCCAGTGCTGCAGTGCCGCCGTGTTTACATTAAAAGGCCTGCAGGGACAGGCTATAGACACCAGAACCACTACATTAAGCTGAAGTGGTTCTGGGGACTATAGTGTTTCTTTAATGTGAGGTAAATTAGAGCTTAGTGCCACGAATAATATACTAGATTGCCTACTTACAACCAGATGAGGATGATGATGGGCTCTAGCTGCAGTCTGGCTCCACTGGTCTGGTGCAGAACAGGCTCTCTGGAGGCAGTTTGTAACTGTGGTCACAAAAATCAATGTTCTGGGAGAACGGGAAGCAGCTCCATTTTTTGGGGGTCCTTTACACAGCTCAAGGTCTGGGTCCCAGGGTCCACCTTCATGTTCCACCAATGAGTTTGTTCACAGGGGGTGGAGTGTGTAAGGGATGTCCTGATATGTGTGTAAGGAATGCATTGTGTGAAATTGTGTTTGTATGTGTAAGGACTGCAAGGTGTGTTTCTGTGTATGTATGGGATGTATTGAATGTGTGTAAGGGGTGCATTGAGTGTGTGTAATGAATGCATTGTGTGTTTCTGTGTGTAAGGGATGCATTGTGTGTAACGGTTGCATTGCTTGTGTATGTGTGTCTGTGTGTTTTTCTGTGTGCAAGGGGTGCATTGTGTGTATGTGATGAATGTCAATCTCTCCTCCCGCTCCAATTTCCTTCTCCTCCTCCCAATTTCTCTTTCTCACCCACCTTCTTTTTCTTTCTCACTCACCCCCCCTTTTCTCTTTCTCACCCACCCCCTTATTTCTCTTTATCACCCCCCCTTATTTCTCTCTCACCCCCCCTCCTTTCTTTCTCACCCACCCCCCCTTTCTTTCTCACCCCTTTATTTCTCTTTTCACCCCTTATTTTCTCTTTTCTCACACCCCTTATTTTCTCTTTTCTCACCTCCCTTATTTCTTTCTCACCCCCTTATTTCTCTTTTCTCACTTCTTTATTTCTCTTTCTCACCCCTTATTTCTCTCTTTCTCACCCCTTATTTCTCTTTCTCAATTTCCTTTTATTTTCTTCTCTTTTCTACCCCCTTATTTCTTCTTTCTCACCCCCTTATTTCTTTCTTCTTTTCTCACCCCCTTATTTCTCTTCTTTCTCACCTATTTCTTTTCTCACCCCCCCTTATTTTCTCACCCTATTTCTTTTCAATTTCCTTGTTTCTCTTTTCTCTCACCCCTTATTTCTTTTCTCACCCCCTATTTCTTTTCTCACCTCCCCCTTATTTCTTTTTTTCACCCCCTCTCTCACCCCTTATTTCTTTTCTACCCTCCCTCTCTCTCTACCCCCTTATTTCTTTTCACCCCTCCTCTCTCACCCCCTTATTTCTTTTCTCTCTCTCTCTCACCCCCTCTCTCACCCCCTTATTTCTCTTTCTCACCCCTCTCTCACCCCCCCTTATTTCTCTTTCTCACCCCCCTACCTCCCTGTAGCGTGGCCGAGCCCTGTATGATCCGCGGGTACAGGGAGCTTTTGTTTCCTGTACCCGGCCGGACTAACAGGAAGTGAACACTCAGTGTGCACTTCCTGTTAGTCCGGCCGGGTACAGGAGACAGCTGCTCTCTGTACCCGTCGGACTAGCATGCTGCAGTGAGGGAGCCCCTCCTGTCAGCCTCTCCTCAGGCTGCGCCCGGGCGGTGCGGTCCGCCCTCATGGACGCACCGCCCGGGCAAAGCTGCAGCCGCCTGAGGCTCAATACAGAGCGCTCGGGCGGCTGCAGCATGGGGGGGGGGCGGGGGCTGGCCATGGCACCCCCCACCCGGCTGGCACCCGGGGCGGACCGCCCCCCCCGCCCCCCCCTTAGTACGCCACTGACCATACACACTGGTATGCATACAAAGACATGCAATCATACATGTACTCAGATACTAACATGACACATGCACAGCCACATACACACAAATAATTGCACAGTCAAATACACAAGCACACATTCACACACTATCACAAATCACATAATTCTACAATTATACACACGCATGCACTTACATATACCTAACACACACACAGTCACATACGCACAGTTACACAGTCATATACACAGTCACACACATACATTGCCAGATACAGTCACATGTCACAGAAACACACACATAGTCAATAGTAAAAAATAAAATCCTAAATTACACAAAACTACTTGTGGAGTGCTAAGTGAATATGGTTTTTACTCTAAGGACTAAATTTCCCCTTGCACTAGGTGTGGTGTGTGATATTTCGTATCTAAATTAACTTAATTTACTTTTTGATTTTTTTAACTAAAATTATTTTTTTGATTGTGTGTCATTTTAAAAATGGTAATGTGGCAAGTCCAGCTGGTACAGAACCGGATTGTTGCTGCACAAATTATCTCATAAATGGGCCAATTTATGTTGGCAAAATTTTAAAGTATTATCTATTACACATAAGGGGGTTGTGCTCTAATTTAATCTTTTTCATTCACAATTAATTCATAGAAGTCTAAATGATTGATCCCCATCTTAATTTGATTTGGCTTGCATTTTACTGCAACACAAAAAATCCTGAAAACATTTTAAAAAATCAGTACTTCTACACCTTTCAAATTATGCTAAATCAATCATTTTGCCTATTCTAAAGGACTAGTGTAAGCGTGTGGACGAAAAATACAAAATGGAATAAATAATTTCATTTCAGGAAAAACCTTGAAACTTGCTGTAGATGATCTCTGTCTCCAATCAAATTTTCTTTAATGTGAATTCTGGTTGGGCATGACAGTGATGTGCATGTGTATATTTTTTTCCTCTCTACTAATTAGAATTTATATATTTTTTTAATTTCAGGTATTTCATTGAAATATTTATTAAAGAAAGACAGTGAGATAACACAATGCAAAACAAACATTTGCAATTGGCAAGTTCACTAAATTACAATGGTTCTGTATCAACAAACTTTATCTTGAGTGCAACAAATATGAATGGTGATATTTATTAGCTTAAGAAAAAGTGTTTCTATAACCTAGTTTAACCCCTACACCCCTTATCCTCCCCCCTGTTTAATTTTCCACCTCCTGAGACTTATTTGAATTCACACAAGGCAAATAAACCAAAATATATAACCCTATTGCCACAGGTTAATAAACCTCTTCCAACGTAACAAACCAACATGAAACTTCACTACTGAAATGATTAGAGATTTGGAAACATAGGAGGTTGCTGAAACATGCCATGCCATTGTTATGGCATATTAATATGCCTGTGTGTGTGTGTGTGACTGTCTGCCTGCCTGCTTGTGTGTTACTGTTTGCCTGTTCATGTGTCTGCCGGCCTGTGTGTGTGTGTGACTGCCTGCCTGCCTGTGTGTGTGTGTGTGTGACTGTCTGCCTGCCTGTGTGTGTGTGTATGTGACTGCCCGTCTGTGTGTGTGTGTCTGTGTGTGTGACTGTCTGTGTGTGTGACTGTCTGCCTGTGTGTGTGTGACTGTGTTTGTGTGTGTGACTGTCTGCCTGTGTGTGTGTGACTTTCTGCCTGTGTGTGTCGCTGTAGCTGTGCCGTTGTGTGTGCCTGTGCCTGTATGTGTGACTATCTGCCTTTAACTAAGTGTGTGTGTGCCTATCATAGTGCGTGAGTGTCTGTATGCCAGTAATGGAGTGTGTATGACTGTCTGCTTGTAATGGAGTATGTGTCACTGTCTGCTTGTGACTGTGTGTATGACTGTCTGCCTGTGACTGTGTGCCTGTCTGCCTTTAACTGTGTGTTTGGCTCTGTAACGGTCTGCCTGTAACTGAGCATGTGTGACTGTCAGTGACTGTGTGAGTGTGTGACGGTCTGCCTGTAACTGAGCATGTCTGACTGTCTGCTTGTAACTGTTTGTGTGACTGTCTGCTTGTGCCTGTGTGTATGACTGTATACAGGCAACTTGGTGGGGGGCTCCATGAAGACTTTTCGCACAGGGCGCCTAATGGCCTAAGGCCGGACCTGTATGGCATATTAAGAACGAATTATTATCAGCCCTAAACAGGCTCCTAATTTTGTAAGAAAATCCCCGAGCAAGTGTACAAGCTGTGATCTGGGCCTCTTACCTAACATGGGTAGAAAATACATAGATTAAGGGGCAGTGGCGTACATACCAGAGTCGCAGGGGTCGCGGCTGCGACCGGGCCCGGCCCACCAGGGGCCAGCCTCTTCTCCTGGGGGGCCCAGGATCCAGCCACCCCAGGGCCCCCCGAGGCTGGCCCTGCTGACCCCGGCGGGCTGTCTGTCTGGGTGGCCGGCGCGCGAGGGAGCACTCTCCCCTGAGTGCTTCCTCTTCAGCTCCCTCGCGCACCGCACTGATACCGGAGCCGGAAGATGATGTCATCTTCCGGCGCCGGCATCCCTATGTGGCACGCGAGGGAGCTGAAGAGGAAGCACTCAGGGGAGAGTGCTCCCTCGCGCGCCGGCCACCCAGACAGACAGCCTTGGCGCTGGGGATCCCTCCACCTCTCAGTCAGTGGTGTATCCTGGTTTTGTGCTGCCCTAGGCAGGACAAAACTCAGGCACCCCCCCGCGCCACCCCCATCCGCGCAACCGCCACCCAACCTTCCCCCCTGCTCCGCCTTCTAAATACACACACACACATTCACTGACAGATACGCATTCACTAGCCAACAGAAACACACACTCACTAACAGACACACACTCACACACTCACTAACAGACACACACACTCACAGGCAAACACACACACTAACAGACATCCACACTAACAGACACACACACACTAACACTAACATACATACACTAACATTAACATACACACTAACACTAACAGACACACACACTAACACTAACATACACACACTAACACTAACATACACACACTAACATACACACACTAACATACACACACTAACAGACACACACTAACAGACACACACACACTAACACTAACAGACATCCACACACACACTAGTGTTTTTTTTTGTGTTTTTTTTATTTAACCCCCCCCCAGCCTCCTTACCTTTGGTAATGCTGGGGGGTTCTTCCTCTCCCTGGGGTCCAGTGGCTGCAGGGCGGGCGAGCGGCCGCCGAGGGAGCTCTTCCCCTGAGCGCTCTGCTCAGCTCCCTTGCGCACCGCCAGCAGAGTGAGGCTGGGAGCCGGAATATGACGTCATCAACCTGGCTCCCAGCCTCACTCTGCTGGCGGCGCGCGAGGGAGCTGAGCAGAGCGCTCAGGGGAAGAGCTCCCTCGCCGCCCGCCCAGCGCCCAGAATGTCTGTTAGCCGCGAGGCTAACAAGACATTTGCCTTGGGCATTTGGGGGGCGGCGTTTTTTGCTGCCCCCTGAAAAATGCCGCCCATGGCAAATGCCTTGTTTGCCTCGCGGCTAATATGCCCCTGCTCTCAGTTCCGAATGCACATGCGCGGCAAGAGGCACGCGCGCATTTAATCCGCCCATAGGAAAGCATTACTCAATGCTTTCCCATT